GGGTTTTAAAGACTTGACTGTGCAGCCTGCCTTTTGGGTGAGCTTGGATTGCTGGGACAGTCCACCTCAGTCCTTTCCATGGGGCGTTACAGTCTAGCTGCTGTGCCCTGGGGGGCCTCCCCTGTCATGGACACACCCCACCCCCTCTTGACTCACATTACAAAACTGCACCTTGCTCTGCTTATAACCTTGCCCCGTCTCACTGTCAATGACCTGAATTCATTTTCTCTCATAAAGCCTCCTCTTTTTTTTTTTTTTTTTCCAGAGGAATAACAAGTTCTTATCCTTTCCCTCTTGCCTTTCTGCTTTGATCAGCTTCTTCCTACCAAGTCTCTAGCTCCCCCATCTCTAGCTACAGTGTTTAGTTAGCCTCTTTGGTTTCTCAGAAAAGCTCAAAGTGCATGGCTCCTCCCTTTTTGCTTCAGAACTGCATTTCTTTCCTTATTACTCAGTGTCCACACCCAGGGCGGTTGTCTGGATAAAAATCTGCCCCTTTCCCCCAGTCACCTTTTCAGGCCAGACATAGGCACCAGTGAGGAATGGCTGTCTGCCCAGGCCCAGTTAGAAGCTCTTATTTCCTCAGTGGCCTGAGTCTCAAGATTGTCTGGGCCTCTGGATCCTAAGTCTAGTTCTCTTTCCTTGCCTTGTCACTCCTCTGCTAAGTTTATTTATTGGGCACCACTAAGCAAAGTTAATGACTATTCCTGTTTTTAGCCAGAAGGGGAGAAGTTATCTCCCTATCACCCATTTCTGTGAGGTTTTCTAGGACTCTGGACCCACTTCCCAGGTTTGGCTATCCAACGCAGTCGGGGGAGAACCAGGCCATTCTTCTCATCCCAGCTGACACTAAGCAGCTTTGTGACGTTGGATAAGACATCTTCTCTTGGGAGGATAGACTAGATTATCTCAGCTCTTCCAGTTGTGAGATCATATGAGGCAAGGGAGAGGGGAAAGTAAGTGACTTGATTGTACCTGTTTTGTAGGTTGGGGAGAAGTCCTTTACTCAGTGGGAGTGGAGGAAGGTAGCTGGGGACTTTGGTGGAAACTGCTGGCTCTGAGGGGCCCACCTCACTTATGGCTGGATGAATACCATATGGGATATACCTCTATCAGAGCCATTCACAAACCTGCTCATCATTCAGACTGGGCTTGTCCGGAATCATGTATGGGCCACTTAATTTCTTCTCATCCCTTCTAAGGAAATACGATGCTCTGGGAACCTAAACTAAATGAGTACATCAGCATGCTTATGGGTTTTTGTGTGGTCGTAGGATCTCTATGCTGTGTCCAGTGTGGTGGTGGTAGAGAGCAAAGCTAACCTTTTCCAGGTATTACTGTGGAGTGGAGTCCTGCTTTGTGACCTCTTACCCCACCCTGGCTTACCAAAGGTCACCTCACCTTGGCTACAAGGCTACCTAGCACATGTGGGGCACACAATATTTGTTAAATGAACGTCGTGCTGTGGCCCTGGGTTTACTACTAGTTTTCTGTCCCTTCTTCGTCCTGGCTGGCTTTCTTTCTCCCTTTGGTCTTATCTTAATTATGATACGTGAAAAGCTCCTTAAAACCACTTGCAGAATTTGAGAAGTTGGTCCTGAACAGTTAGGACATCTTCTGGGATCTAATGCAAATACCTGTACTTTGGCTTTACTTCCTTTCTGCCATCTCATTATGTATGCATCTTAGGGGTCAGGAAACTGAGCTTCATACGTCTTGGAGTTGCATTTGTATGTATGTATGTATGCAATGCTTTGTTTGAGGGAGTGGGGTGGGGTGGAGAGTGGAAGACAGCCTCATTAAGAGAATATCTCTAGCTTGGCATATTAAAAAATTGAGGGATTTGAACTGGGCATTGGGATGCACAGACTTGAGGAGGAAGACTAAAAATAGAAATCCTTTCATGAGAAAGTACACAGTGATGGGTGGCCTAGGTGTCCCCCTGCTCTAAAGGTACTAAGCACCTAGAAGCCATAATAGAACTTTAGGAACAACTTTTTGGAGATGGCTGGGCTTTGGATCATTCCCCAAGTGCGCCTTTATGCTGAAACATCAGAAGGCTTCTTTTCACTTTGCTTTGAATGAATACAGTTGCCAGCTTCTACCCCAGTTCCACCCCTTTGGAACAGGGAGCTGGGGCTAAAATGTTAAACGGCTCTCCTATTCATTCCCCTCTTCCTTTTATACCCCCCTTGTAGGTATCTCCCACCCCAACTGTGTCCCTTCCCCAGCTGGGGAAACCCTGGCTGATATATTCTGTTTAGCCATTTTCAGGTTCCTGTAGGCAACAACGGCTCAGAAAAAAAGCCTCATTTCTAAACCCTTGCTTTTGCCTAACATCCCCTGGCTGCTGTCCCCACATGACCCAAATAAACAGATGATCATGTGAAGCCAGTAAGGCTGTTTGTTTTAAATAGCAAGCATCTCCACTAAGCTCTGGAGCAGATGGGGTATTGGGGGCAAGGGAGAGACTGGCATTTGACTCTGTTCACCCCACCTTTATCTTGTGCTTACCCACCCGTGAAGGAAAAGTTGTCTTCAGAATCCTCCTTTTCAGAGGGGTGCCTACTTAATGGAATAGAGCTGGTATCCGGCAAGAAGTCAAAAATTGGGCTTGGGCCTTATAAAAGACTTCAGGACTATATGAGTGCTATGACCACTTGAGGACGGCAGAAGATAGAGCTGAATGGAGCTCTCTGAGCATCTTGGGCCACTGGACAGAATAGTACAGTGCTGACCCCAAACAAAACGAAAATTTGGTCAACGTTGTTGCAGGTCATTGTTACGTATATACCGTTTAGTGCCCCACCCCACCATACACACCTGTGTATTGCCTTCAAACTTCTCATTTTCTTTGGTTGTGCAGTGGGCCAGGCCAGCCATGCTAGTAGCAGGTGGCAGATATCTAAAAGGAAGCAATGTAAGGACCAGCACAGATCTTGCCATCCCAGGAGAAGGGCATTCATCCCAGGGCACCTGGGCTCCGTTGTTCCCACCCTCTCCCCGACCTTCCTTTCCAGCTCCATCATAAGCCAAGCTAGTGGCACCTGGACGTGTGTAATGGCCTCTGCTCAGTTACAGATGCTGGGGCATCAAATGTGTAAAGATCAGATCCTTCTGTAGACTGCTGCTGGCAAACAGTCCCCTTCCTTCTGTTCACTAGGTTCTTGATTTCCAAGATCCGTGCAGATTTTCTTTCCTTGGTATGCATTATGCCCTCAAAGGAAGGGAGCAAAGCCAGCAGGCATGCATTTGTACTGGCTTTCTGTTCCTCTAAGCTAGACCCCAAAATAGGAACATAGCCCTCCAAGGGCACAGTGGGGATGGGATGGGATGGGAAGAGATGGGTTGGCAGGGTGGTCTGCCACTCCGCTGTCCTCATTAAGTTTTGCTTTGTAGCTTTGATGGTGAAGCCCAGGCTGCAGGATTCTGAACCCAGCTGGCATTGGCCCATTGTGAACTGGTAGCAAAAAAGGAATTTGAGGCTAGGACGCAGGGGCCAAAGGACTGCTGGCATTGGGCCCGCAGAGCTGTACATGTGTTGGTGCTACCATAGTGCCTTCAGCCGGCCTTTGTGTCACTACCAACTCTACCAGTGGGGCTTGTGTGGCCTGTGCCAAAGCAGAACAGCAGAGTTTCAGGTGAAGATTTTGGAGACCCAGACTACAGTATATTAAGTGGGCAGACAACTTCCCGTGCAGGCAGTTTGATATTCCTCCATGATTTTTTTCGAATTGGGTGCCCTGCCCTGCCCTGCCCCAGAACTGCCTTCAGAAGAGTCGTCGACGGGGTCAAGGATAAATACTCCTTCCTCCAGGGCATGCAGCAGTTGGAATACCGACTGACTTCAGACAAGTCCTCTCTCGTGTCTGGGACGCAGTTTCCTTATCTGCAAAATAAGACTACTTGGGTACGCTGACAAAGGTCTAACTTTATGATCGTACCGCAGGCAGCCTCAAACACTAGCGCAAGTAGCGGCGGCAGCGAGCGCCAGCCCGGGGTCCCGCCCTCTTGGCGAGCGCGGTGGAGACCAGGCAGAGCGTCCCGACCCCGCGCCCCGCCCGCGGCCTCAGTCGCCCAGCGGCTGGCGGGACCAGGCTTCCGCCCTCCACGTTGTTGTTCCCGATTTGGGCCCCGCCCCCTTGGTCTTGGCCGCGGACGCCCTGCGTTAACTGCCCCCGCTTCGGCCCCGTAGCAAAGGGTGGCCTGTGGGGCATCCACATTAGACAGGCGTGGACAAAGACAAGAATTTGGGGGTAGAAAAGAGAGAGACTTGGTTTGGAAGGAAGGGTGTTGAAAAGTAAAGGGCAGGCCACGGCACAACTGCAGAATTTTCCTCTCGGCGTCCCACCCTCCGCTCTTAGAGTGGACCCATCCGCACCCAAGAATGTGACCGTGTTAGACACTGGCCCTTTAAACAGAAGGCTGGCGGCGCGGGGTGTCCATGTGGAGCTGCTCCATGCCGTGTTGTCCTGCTCGCCCATTGGCCCGTGGCCCGATGACGTCGTCTAATAGGATGCGAACGCACTGCGGGGGGAGGAACGGAGGCAAAACGCGGCACCGGATTGTCACTCCGCTCCCTCCGCTGGTCTCTGGCAGCCTCCTGCCGTCAGCTCCGCCCACGGGCGGATCCCGGGGGAATTGCGACAGCCGGGGCGGTTGCAGGAATTAGGTCACGTGTGGGTAGGGAGCGGAGACCCAGGGGTCAGGCCAGTCTCTACCATCCTAAGGTTTCCCTGACCTGGAATATCCTTATTTGAGTTAACTTAAGTCTTAAATTTTCCACCCCTCTTTTCCTCCAGCAGGACACACTTCGTTGTGAATGACCGCAACGCGCAGCCCTTGCTCAATTTGCAGCTTGCCATCGGGGCGGGGCGAGGCGAGAAAGCGGAAATGCAGGGCGCGAGCGGGGCGGGATATTCTCCTACCCCCACCCAGGCCACGTGTGCGCGCGCCGTCTATAGTGGGCGGGGCCAGCCCGCTCGGGACCCCGCCCCTCCCTTCCTGAGACGCCGCGGCCCTGCGGGCGGGGGCTCCGGTCCGGGCTTTGGCTGCGGCCCCGGTGTAGTAGCGGGGGCGGCGGCCGGGGGCTGCGCGGCTCCTTCCCTTGTTGTGTGTGTCGGTGCCTCCTCGCCATCTTGTTGCAAAGCCTTTTCTTGTCGGCGGGACTCCCGGGGGCCGCGGGGCGGGAGGCATCAGAGGGGGAAAAAGAGAGGGAGGGGAAGGAGGGAGGCAGGGCCGCCTTTTGTTTTTTTGCACCAAAATTTTTTAAATTTGCAAATTATATTTTGCAAATATTTTGGGAAACATTAATTTTTTCTCTCCGTGCTCTCCCGTTCTTCCTTGCGGAGTGCGCTGCGCCGCCCAGCCCTGTCGCCCCCCGGAGGTGATCCCTCCCTCCTGCCTGCCCGCCAGCCTGACCTGTGCCCGGCTCGCGGGCCGCAGTCTCGGCCCCGGCGCGCCCCCGGCAGCTCTCGGCGCGATGAGCATAGAGACGCTACTGGAGGCGGCCCGCTTCCTGGAATGGCAAGCGCAGCAACAACAGAGAGCACGTGGTGAGCGGCCGGGCTGGGCCCCTGGGGCACCGGGGAAGGGGAATCGAGCGACCCTGATCTCCGAACCCACGCGAAACCACGCGCAGAACGCCTTCCTGGGCGGCCTATGAAGCCGGGCAGCTCAAGGTTCCGCACAAGAGCCGCCGCCTGGAGAGAAGTGTTGGGGGCAGTAAAATTAATTAATGAATTCATTAACATGCAGTGAGGGACTCGGCTCCTGTGGGCGCCACCTCAGCTGCCTGCCACCCCGTGTGCACCTTTCGTGGGGGCTCCTTTCGTGTGGGCCAGCGGCGCCCTCGGTAGCGCTGAGGATGTGTGAGTCGGTGGGGGGTGGGGTGCGGAATGGTGTTGCGTGGGGGTGGCAGACCCGCGTGTGCGTGCGTGTGTGCACGGGGGATGTGTGATGCGAGCCTCGAGGAGAGCGGATGTACAGACGTGTACACGGGCGAGTGTATAGTGCACACGAGTGGGCGTGTGTGTAACGGAGTGGGGGGTGGGAATTACTCTACGCGGAGCAGCTCCCCGGCTTCCCCGGCCCTGTGGGGAGGGTGCGGGGGGCGCTCCCGGCCGATCTACGCGCCGCTTGGGGCGGAGGCGGCCTTTGCAGAATGAAATGACATCGCGTGTCTTATGATCCTGGCCAGCCCCGCCTGACCCCGCCTCCCAGGGCTGGGCTGGGTCGCGCTTCAGAGGTCTGGGTGAGAACTGGGCGGATTGGGTATCTGCGAAATGGCCCGCAGGTCGCTGGGGGCAGTCCCCGGGCCCCCCTTGATGCGCCCCACTTTAGCCGGTGTGGAATGTGGCGTGTCTGCGCGTTCCAAACCCGCTCTCGGCTGGAATGTTGCGTGTGCCTGCGTTCCAAGCCCGTTGGTTACACCGGACGGTGACGTGGACTGGCTCCGCCTCCGACCACGTGCACCGGGGACACTCCCGCTGGGGACTCTGCGGCCCGGCCCCTCCCAGCTGCCTCGCGCTCGGCCGGGGGCGGGGCCAGGGCGGGGCTGGCGAGTGGCCGTGCGCGGGGTTGGGCCCTGGCTCCGGCCGCCGGGCACCTCCCGGGGAGAGCTTGTGCACTGGGAGGAGGAGCCGCCGAGCTCACCTGTCGGTTCTCGCCCCAACCTCCCTGTTTTTGATCCTGGGGCGAGGGAAGCCCTCTGAATCGCAGGGTGACAGGACATTTAGAGCTCACATACTCCCATTGACGTTTGGGGGAACGTTCTCAACAGGACCTCCTGGCAGTACCCCTAGCCACATTGTGGAATGAGCCAGGCGGAGAAGGGGCAAACTTTGGCGTTTCCTCGTTAGGAAGCGAGGATTTCGGATGCTTCCTGTCCCACCCGCCCTGTCGGTGGTCCCCAGCTTCATGGTGTTGCAGGATTAGGGTTTGGAGGGAAAGACCTCCGTTTTTCGACCATTGCGAGGCCTTCGGCCCTGGATCGGTTGTGTACGATATCCGGGGACTCCTGTCCCTTCCAGCCTCCCCTCCCCTCCTCCTGACGGGTTCGTTGTGGTGAAGAGAGTGCTTCGCCCTCCTTTCCTTTCTCTCTGCCTATTGTTGCTTCAATGATGAGTCATGCAGGAGGTAGTAGTGTGTGTTGTGTGCGCGCGCGCCCTGCAGCTTTTGCCGCGGCGGCGGAGGGGGTTGGGTGGGGGGAGCGGCAGCCGGCCAGAGGCGGGGGAGCGGCGGGTCCGCCCGGCCTAGTAGGTCGACCAGCCTCTCAAGGTCAGGAGTCACTCGAGATCTGTGAGAGTGAGATGCTTGGATTTTGCGAGATTGATGGGCCGGGACCTCAGCCCGCGTGCCCCTCCTCCTTATCTCCGGTGTCCCCAGCAGGGTCAGGCCCTGGGCAGTGCTGGTTGTGACCGAGAATGTCCCGTTTGCGGACGCAGCGAATGGGCGAGGGTAGGGGGGTTGCGTGAACAAGAACTGGAGAGACTTGAGTCACCTGCTGCCACCATCAACACAGTGCATTTGAGGGGTACCTATTGTGTCCTCTCAGGCACTGTGCTAGAGGTGAACAGAATTGACCCTGCTTTCTCCCCAAGGGAGCACTCACTTCACCTTCAGTTTGCCCTCAGGCTGATTGGTTTTACGGGGAAGGGGAGAAGCCCGCCCCGCCCCCACTGCCATCTCCCCCACCCTTTCCAAAATACTAAGTCCAGAGCTGGCAGTAAGAAGGACAGGGATGATGTGTGCAACACTGTGAAGGAGCCTGGGAATGGTTCCCTCCTAAGAAGTTGCAGAGCCCTGCCCCTCCCCCAGGTGGTGAGAACTGGGGGCAGGGAGCTGAGTAGAGGCCCTGTTTAACTGACTGGTCACAGTTCCTTCTTGTTGGGTCCAGGAGTTCTTAGGGAATGGGTGGTGCAAAGCCAGATGGAGTCCAAAAGCCTACATGCGCACATGGCTAGACCTAGCCACAGCACTTAAATCTCAAATTCATTTCTTCCCCCTCCTTGAGGTTCTGTCCTCTGACTTGGGGTGGGGATGGTGGGAGAGAAGAGGTCGTGTGTGGACCTGCTGACCTGATGAGCAGCTCTGAACAGGGATTCTCTTGTCCATGCCCCATTTCAATTTCAAGGGTGGATGTGTGGATGTGTGCTCACGTGCATGTGGGAGAGGGAAGAAGTGGTCAGCAGCATTGAAGAAGAAGTAATTTCCAGCATTCATGGAGGTGGCTTAAATGGGACCGACCCTCTTCTACCTGACCTAGTCACATGGCAGGCTGGGGGTGAGGGGCTGCCGTATCCACAAGTTCCCTGTTGGCCTGAAGAAGGGGAGAACTCCCCCTGAACACTGGAGGCTACCTAGTGTTGATTGTGGCCCCTGAATCACCCCAGATGTGTCATGCTGAATTCTCTAGGGCCCCCTCGTGTGCATGTTTGGGAATGGGAGAGGCAGTGCACCCCTTTGTGCAGCACAGTGTTATTTCACAGAGACTGAATCTGTTTTGTTCCTGAGGGAGTCCCTGAGTGACTGCCAGTTTGCTCCCCCCCTTTTGTTTCCCCCTCCCCAGGGCATAGGAAGAGGGTCGCTGCTGGGTGGGGAGGAGGCAGGAAGCTTTGATGGGCTGAATTTGGCCCAGGACACCCCCTCTTCACCACCAGTCAAGACTTTCCATGCTGATCCAGGTGTGATACAGCTTGGCCATTCACCTGGGTCCCTCCTGGCACCCGAGAGGCATACCTGCCTGACCCTGGAAGAGAGAGGGTAGGTGAGAAGGAGGTTGCCATCTCCTGGATGAGCTGTGGAGTTGCTTTAAAATATGGGGAATATGAGGTTTACTTTCAGTCTAGGTTACCAGGGCACCTGTCTTTGGGGCTTGGAGCCCTCTCTGTCGCACTGCTAATGGGAGAGTGGAACCCTGGTCCCAAAGCCAATGAAGGAATTTGGGTCGTGGCCCAAAGGAATGAAGGTGGGCTGTGTTGGGCCCTGGAGCTCAGAGGAAGGGGATGGGGTGGGGGGAGGTGAGGAGCAATGTGGGGGATGGACTAGGTAGCTAGTAGGTGGAGCTCTCCACAGACTTCTCTGCTATTGTGGTCTCTGGGAAGCTGGAACGCAGAGAGCTGGTTTTCTCTGGGGCTGTAACAGAAGCCAGTGCCAGCCGGAAAGGCCTGGGAGAGCCCTCATTGGAGCAGGCCTGGCAGCTACCCTTTCTGAAGGGCAGGGGAGCTACGGAAGAGGCCTGTGCTGCTGGGAGACCGCTGAGTGCTTCCCCTCTCACAACCCTGCTCTACTTCCTCCTCAGGCCTCTTCTCCCCTGCCGGAGGGAGGAGCTTGGAGCAGGCCTGGCTTGTGCCCACTTTGTTGGTTGGCCTGAGGGCCCTCAGCCCCAGAGACCATAGGAGGGGTTGATGCCCTCCTCTGTAGGGGGCTCTTAGCTTACCTGGTCCTCCAGCCCCACCTCTTGCGGCGAGGTATGTTTGGGGCGTGTCTTCCGGCTCCTGCTATCAGCCCAATGAGTCTGCAGTGTGGCCAGTCCCCAACCGCAGAAGGGCTGGTTGACCAGCCTGCACCCTGGCCTGGGGGACTACGGCTGCTCCCCAGGGACCCTGCCCAGCCCTGTAGCCAGGGAACTGGATTGGTGGGGCCTGGCCAGCCCCGGGGAAGGGTGGAGGTGGGGAGGTACTTGTGGCTCAGGAAGGGCCCTCCCCTTCCCCTGGTGGCAGCCAGCCCCTTGAGCAGGCCTTACCTTGAAGCAGGGCTGGCGTGGGGATGCTGAAGGGACCTGTGTGGGGCTGCTTTCTTTTCCTTTCTGCCTGCCTGTTCCCTTTTCCTTCCCTTTCCCTTTCTTCCCTTTCTGCTGCTGGTGGTGGGAACGGCCAGGGGGAGGGATTTGGGACCCATGAGTTCTAGCACCACAAAAGGCAGAGAAGGACTGAATGGGTTTTGTGTGGTCTCTGAGGAAACCAGACACTGGGACCTGGCCTGGGACTCCTGGGCCTGATGTCCTCATGTGTGAACTGAAGGTGATGTCCCTGCCCTGCCTGTGGCATGGACTTCCATGAGGATTCAGACGGGTGTGTGTGTGTGTGTGTGTGTGTGTGTGTGTGTGTGTGTGTGTACATGGACTTCCATGAGGATTCAGAAGGGGTATGTGTGTGTACAGACATCTAGTGAGCATGTGCTAACACAGCAGGTATGGGCATCCGCCAGGTGTCAGAATTCCTGGCTGGGTCTGGTTCCAGTTTACCTGTTACTTGCTCCGTGACCCTCAACAAATCACTTTACTTCTCTGAGCTCATTTATTTCATCTTGAAATGAAGATGCTGCCTGCCTTCTGGAAGGTGCTTGGTAAATACTGTTGAAGACCTTCCCCAAAAGCTGTGCTCTGTTGGCCTCTCCTACATTCTCTTGTGGTGGCTCGTGAGGTCTTTCGCTGACTGGCCTCTCTCTGCCCACCATACCTATCACCTCAGCCTTGTTGTTCCTGAATTTCCCTGCCCCACTAACTCCTTAACCTTCAGGTGGCCAGGCCTCCAGCATCCCATCTGACAGCTCCTGCTCTGTCCTTCTACCACCCTTCTCTCCTAGCATGGATTATTCTGTTACTTGTCCTTCCTCTCATCCCCTAGGTCTTGGGCTCCCCAAAGGCAGAGACCAGGCCTCTTTTCACTGTTCACTGCCATGCCCCCAGCACTTAGCCCCCGTGCCTCGCTGGGTGTGGATGGGCATTTGTGGTGTCTCAGGCTGAGCAGGCATGTCCCTGAGCACTGACTGGGACAGGGTCAGAGGATGCTTTGTGGTTGGAAGACTTCAGAAGCCAAAGCCCAGGACTGTTGGCCTACTGAGAAACCCCTTGTGTTCTCTCTGTGTAGAGGAGCAGGAGCGGCTTCGCTTGGAGCGGGAGAGGGAGCAGGAGCAGAAGAAGGCCAGCAGCCTGGCCAGGCTGGCCCATGCCCTGCCCGTGGAGGAGCCCCGCATTGAAGCACCAGCCCTACCTCTGTCCCCCCCAGCACCCCCTCCAGCACCCCCACCCCCACTTGCCACACCCACCCCACTGACTGTCATTCCTATTCCAGTAGTGACCAACTCTCCTCAACCCATGCCCCCGCCCCCACCACTGCCACCTACAGCCCAGCCTTTGCCTCTGGCACCTCGCCAGCCAGCCCTGGTTAGCACCCCTGGACTCAGCATTAAGGAGTCTGCTCCCTTGCCCACTAGGCCACAGGTGCCCAATCCCACTCCCCTGCTGCCAGACTCCAAGACCACCCTTGCGCCCACTGGCAGCCCCAAGCCTTTGCAGCCCCTCCCCACACCCATTCTGACCATAGCACCTCACCCTGGAGTTCAGCCCCAGCTGGCCCCCCAGCAGCCACCCCCACCCACTCTTGGGACCCTGAAGTTGGCACCAGCGGAAGAAGTCAAATCCAGCGAACAGAAGAAGAGGCCTGGGGGGTGAGTGAGGTGTAGCCGAGACGGGACTGGTGGGATGGAGAATTGACCACATTCTGGGCAGTGTATGCAGGAGAAGATATCCCCCCCTCCTAAACTCATCCTTCAAAGCATTATCCTACCTCCCCAGCTGAGAAGTACCCTGCTGTATTTGGACAGTTCTCACTGTGCCTGTGTCTGTCCCCACCCAGGGAGTGGGGAATGGCCATGGGCCTCTGTTTTCAGGCTTCTTTGTTCCCTGACACCCTCAAGGATGGGCCGATGGCATTTCCAGGCCTTTTGACAGAGTATTGGATTGGAGATCTCTTGGGTGAGGGCTGGGGCCCATTGGCTATTTCTGTGAGCCCCAGGAGACCCTCTTGTCTCCTCACAGGTGGACAAGAGCAGAATGGAGGGTTAAAGGGATTGTGAATTATGAGCATACATGTGCCCTCCAGGGGCTATATCCACCTCAGTGCAGGGTGAACGTCTCCCATGGCAACTTTGTACGGAGAATCTGGGAAGAAAACCACCTGTGGCATTTGGGGAGTGGGGGCAGGGGGGCAGGAAGGCCACCGAATTGGGTCCTCCTCCCTGAACCTCCTTCCTGTCTGTCTGGGTTTCAGGATCGGAACCAGAGAAGTACACAACAAATTGGAGAAGAACAGGTGTGTGTGCTTGCGTGTGTATCTCTGGGCCCGACCCGCCCCCTGTGGGGACTGCTCCCACCCTTGGTTCCCTAAGCGCTCCTGGGGCCTTCCTCTCCACCCCCATCCCCCAGGTGCTGGCTAACCAGCGCCACTCCCTCTCCCCAGGAGGGCCCATCTGAAGGAATGCTTTGAGACCCTAAAGCGCAACATCCCCAACGTGGACGACAAGAAGACGTCGAATCTGAGTGTGCTGCGGACGGCGCTGCGGTACATCCAGGTATGGGGGAGAGAAGCACCGCTGAGAGGAGGGCGGGCGGTGGCCGCGGCGCCAGCTTCCTCCCCACTCCCACCCTCCCTCTTCCCCTAGCCGAGGCCCCGCCCCGCCCTCGCTCCCTCTCCGGCTCCCCCGCCCGCCTCCACGCGGGCGCTGAGCACATGGCTCGGCTGACGTCAGCGGGGCTCCCCGCCCGCAAGGGGGCGGGGGAACCGGCGCGCGTGCGCGGGGGAGGGCGGCCGCGGCGTTCCCCTCTCCCCCTACCCCTGCGGGGCCGCCCCACGGACCCCCACCATCTGCACCACCGCCGCAGCTCAGTTTTAAGACCAGGCACTGGGGTCCGCGTTAGCGTCCGGCGCGGTTAGTGTGCCCGCGGTGAGAAGGGCGTGGAGCGGCCCCGGCGCCTCCACCCCGCCCGCAGTCCTGGGCGGGAACCCGGTCTCGGCGCGGGAGTCTGTCGCTCGTGGAGGGGTGGGGAGTCCCCTGGGCGTGGCTGCTTGCGGACGGTGGCGCGCCGCTGAGCCCCCCCTCCCCCCCGACTCTGACCCCAGAATGATTACGATCCTTGAGTGAGAGCGTTGAGGTGCTACGATTGGATTTGGGGGGTTAAACCTGGAGGCTGGGGAAATGTGGTGGTCTGGGTGACCAAAGCAGTCCTAGGGTCACCGAACCTTTAAAAAATAACGCTCTCTTCCTGCCTGGGTTTTTAAAAGCCTCTTTTCAGGGGGCCCTCCTGGTCGTGTGCCCCAATCCCCTTTGGGCACTGGCTTCTCTCCGCTGTACGGGGCGGGGCGGGGGGCTCCCGCCAGATAAGACAGTTGCCATGACGGCCCCGTGTTTCGGTTTCCTTGGAAACCGGCCGAGGGTTCCGCGTGCCGGGAAGGAGGCTGTGGGGGTGGGGCGGGTAGCCACGCTCGGCTGCCGCGGAGACGGAGTCGGAACCGAGCCGTTGGGGAGTGGGAGGGACTTAGAGCTCCCTGCCCGCGCGGGGTGGGGGCGGGGGCAGCTTGAGGTCCCCCTGCCGGCGCACTCGGGCACCTGGGGGCGGGGGTGAGGGGGAGCCGGGCAGCGTCAAAAGTCCCGTGGTCAGGGGTCCGACCGAACTATGAGCCAGAGGCGTGGCCCACCCCCCCGCCAAGACTGCGGGGTCACAGCCCTGAGGTAACCCGAGCCTGACTCGTTCGGGGGGGCGGAGGCACTGTTACGCCACTGCTCCCAGCCGGCGGCTCCCTCCCGGCCTCCCGCGAACGCGCGCCCTTCCGCCCGCCCTGCAGGCGAGGGGGCGTGGCTGGCGCGCCTCCAGACAGCTTCCCGGCACCCGAGAGGGGTGGAGCCGGGCTCGGGGATTGGCAGGGCCGGGATGGGGGCGGGGCTTCCGCGCGCCGATCGGTGGGGTGCCGCGGGCCCAGAGTGACGCTGCAAAGCCGAGTCCGCGTGGGTGCGCGCGTGCTCCGGGAGGGGCGGAGCCTCGATTTCGGCCGGTCTGGCCTCGGAGGAGGAGGGGCCCGAGGATCGGGGATTGGAGGGTCCCCAGGAGGCCTACTTCTGATATGTCTTTGTAGAACTTGGTCTTGAGAATATTATGGGTTCTTCAGTCATTCACAGTCACATGACCTAGGAGCAAATCCTTGTCCAAATGCTGTGACGTTTTCTGTGATTATCAGTTTCTTCTGTACTGCCATTTTGCTAAATAAGAAAAAAAATAGTATCTTCCTCTTGGGGATGTTAGGAGGATTCGCGCTCTAAGTACCAACTTAATCGCAATTACTAAGACATGGGAAGGATGGAATAGCACATTCCACTTTATAGACAGGTAGCAGACATGGGCCAAGGCTGAGTAGGCAGCGAGGTATACCCAGGCTGTTCCTAAGAGATAACTTGTACCGGGGCTGGCAACGGAGGCAGAAATAGAAAACTTACAAGGCCTTCTAAATCCTTAACCTCACTCATTTGTTTATTTATTTAGGTGCTTTGGACAGCTCTGTCTGATTCTGAGAATAAAGCAGGGAGCAAAGAAAAAAGTGTGGGTCTCTGTCTTCATACGTTAGTCATGTGTTTGGTGTTGGTGGCAGAATAGAAACAAACAAAGGACTGTGTCATGAGGATGTAATAGGGACGGGGTCACAATCTGTTCTAGGGAGTGAGGGAAGTTGTAGCTGAGGAAGGGGCATTCAAGCTGGGACCTGAAGGTTTCAGGATGACCTAGGCAAAGCAGAGGGCAGAAGGCCCAATGCCTTCTCCCAAGTTTCTCCAGCACTGGGGAGCAGAATGCAGTTTTGGAAGTTAAAGGTGGTCATGAAGGTTGCCATGGAGAGATGGGGACAGCAGGGCACTAGCTAGGAGTGAAATAGTAGAGAGACTCAAGGCTCTGGGTGTGTGCTGAAGTGGGCAGGCTGTCACCCCTGGCCAACTCAGGGTGGCTTGGAGGTGCTTATGGGATTTGAAGCAAGCCACTGTGAAGTAGGAGTAGGCAGGTACCAAACTATGCATCCAGGCAGTCTTGGGAAATGTGTTTAAAATGAAGCAGTGTGGACAAAGCTAGAATGTGGGGAAACTTTCCAGGGGCCTCTAGGCTTGTGGAGAACTAGGCTAGTTAGGAAAAAGAGGTCTTGACCTCTGAGTTACTCCCAGAGCCAGAAATCTGCTCTCCCTTTGTAAAGTTTAGGACAGCCACTTCCAGCCCCCAGCAGCCAGGTTCAAGTGAGAGCTGACTCACCACAGGCCCCGTCATTGGTATGGCCTCATCTGATGTCATGTCCAGCACAGGCCTCTCAGGGTAGAGCCAGGTGAGAAGCCAGTTGTATGTGTTTCTGTGTGTGTGTGTGTGTGTGTGTGTGTGTGTGTGTGTGTGTGTGTAAGGGAGGGACTTTCCGGCAGAACTGTGGAGAGAAGCAGGTTAAATCTCAAAAGCCAGGATGCAGAGGAGGCTGTGTGTGGCCCAAGACTGCTGGCAGAACTGTAAAGCTACCAGGTTTCAGGCCAGAACAGAGTAAGTTTCTGTCTGGGTCATGTGCTGCAGCAGGAGTGGTTGGAGGCGTCTTTGAGTGGCGAGGTCAGAAATACAAAGAGTTTAGAGCTACTGGAGGGAGTGGGTGAAGTCAAGGATCTTGCCATACCCAGGAGGGGCAACTGAACAGCCAGGAAGGCTGCTCCGCTTGTAGTAAATGGAGTCAGGGGAAACTCGGTGTGATGGGTGACGGATTCTCCTGTGATAAAGGAGAGGGACAGGATAGAGGTGGGAATCCATAGTTCCTTTCCCTGGGGCTAAGATATGCATAGTTTTGTCCTGGCTGCTGGTAGGGTCAAGGGAGAAAAGCTAATTATGAAGTAGTCTTGGCTTTTACTCACAGCGGAGGACAGGGACAGTGTGTATTGAGGTGGAAAGACAAAACAGGAAGTTTTTAGGGATTATTTTAGTGTGTGATTAAGTACTGATCGTCTTATTAAGTGCTCGGGTGTGGGCTTGGAGCGCAAGCAGATAAGAGGCAGAGAGGTGAGAAAGGGTCTGTGTGTGTGAGAGGGTTCAGAGAGGAAAACCGAGACTAGCTGGATAGTTTGGTGTGTGCAGGGTTGGTGGATTTGGCACCTGCGTGGCCGGCAAGCCTTGGAAGCCAGGAGCTCAGGAGCAGCGTGGGTTCCCAGATTTCGGGATGCTGTAGGGCAAGAGTGGCCGTGTTTGGTGGCCCCGGCACTCCTGGCATGCCTGGGCCAAGGAGAAGCTGGCAGTGGGGAGGCCTGTGAGACTTCGAGGTGTCCGTTTAATAAAGCGTCAGAGTCAGGAGGTCACAGAGGACGGGAGCTGAGGCAGAGGACACAGGCTGGCCTTTTGGAGCTGCAGAGAAGTCTCTCATGTGAGGGGAAACTGGGGATCCTTCTGATAGGGGAGGCATGGCCTGTTTGAGGGGCCCCAGCTGCCTGTGCGCCTGAAGGGGCTGAAGCAGCTAGGGGTCCCGTGGCCAAGGGCGTTCCTTACTGGTGTTCTTAGTGAGGTGGGTGCCTCTGGGTCATGGGACAGGGCCAGCCCGGACCCTGTGGTGGAGGTGGCGGTAGTGCTCACTGTGAGAGGTGCTGTGGAGCCATTGTTCATTGGTCAGTGCAACTCAGCTACAGGTGTGGAAGGAGGGGGGCACATTCCAGGGTTTGGGGGTCGGTCAGCAGCCTGGAGAGGAGCCCAGAGGGTTGCGGGCGTGGTTGTGGAACCCAGGGAGGCACCATGGGGAGTACCCCATGGTGGGCCGGGGGAGGGGGCAGAGCCAGCAGCTGCCTGGGATGAAGGAAATGGAGGCAGGTCGGGAAGAAATGCAGAGGGTCCATTGCGGGGGGAGGGGTTGGTGTGCCACAAAGTCTCAGGGGCATGCTCAGGGACACTGAAGTGGAGGAGACTAGGGGATGATGCTGTGAAGAGACGGGCACGATCGTGTGGGGTTCTTTGAGGAATGAGTTCCAAGGAGGGGAAGCTTGTGGCTCGGTGACCGACAGCATGGTATGAGTGGTGCTTTGAGCAGCACCGAGAAGTCTGTTTCCCCTTCTGTCCCCCACAGGCCGGAGGGAGGAGGCTGCGGGGAGGGTGGAGGGGAGGGCGCTTATCCGGGGGTGGGGGGAACTGACCTGCATCTGTGCTTTCTGTCCGTGGTGCCTGCTAGAACCCCTGAAGTCCACAGGACATGCCCCACCCCCACCCCGGGCCTGGCCACGAAGCAGGGGCGGCTGTGGTCTCCAGCACCCCCCTCCCTGCAGGCCTACCACTGGGGGCTGAGGGACCTTGAGAGCAGGGTGCCCCAGGGGAGTGGTCGGCAGTACTGGGGGCCTTAGAACTCCTGCTCAGGGTATGCTTCGGGCCCTTGCCTTGTTCTCCAGTCTCTGAAGAGGAAGGAGAAGGAATATGAGCATGAGATGGAGCGGCTGGCCAGGGAGAAGATTGCTACCCAGCAGCGGCTGACAGAGCTCAAGCATGAGCTGAGCCAGTGGATGGACGTGCTGGAGATCGACCGTGTGCTCCGGCAGACTGGCCAGCCCGAGGACGACCAGGCCTCCACCTCCACGGCCTCTGGTGAGCACCCTCCCGCCCCTCCCTGGTCAGGCCCTTGCCCCCCAGCTCCCTGTCCCTGGACCCTGGGGGCATTTACTACTCCAACCTCTTGTTTCCCAACTCTTTCTAACCTGTCCCTGTCCCTGTGTCCCCCCACAGAGGGTGAGGACAACATAGACGAGGATATGGAGGAGGACCAGGCTGGCCTGGGCCCACCTAAACTGAGTCATCGCCCCCACCCGGAGCTGCCGAAGCCCCCGCCCAGTGCTGCCCCCGCACCTCTGCCTCCCCATCCACACCCCCACCCCCAACCTGTGGCCCTGTCTCCCGTCCACCTGCCTGGGCAGCAGCCACCGCCACCACAGAAGACACCGCTGCCGGCCCCTCCTCCCCCAGCGGCTGCCCCTGCCCAGACGCTGGTGCCGGCTCCAGCCCATCTAGTGGCGGCAGCTGGCGGGGGCTCCACGGTCATCGCCCACACGGCCACCACCCACGCCTCAGTCATCCAGACTGTGAACCATGTTCTCCAGGGGCCAGGTGGCAAGCACATCGCCCACATCGCCCCCTCGGCCCCCAGCCCTGCTGTGCAGCTGGCCCCCGCCACACCCCCCATCGGCCACATCACCGTGCACCCTGCCACCCTCAACCACGTGGCCCACCTTGGCTCCCAGCTGCCCCTGTATCCGCAGCCTGTGGCAGTGAGCCAGCCTGTGGCGGTGAGCCACATCGCCCACACCCTCTCACACCAGCAAGTGAATGGCACAGCTGGGCTGGGGCCCCCAGCCACTGTCATGGCGAAGCCAGCTGTGGGGGCTCAGGTGGTGCACCACCCCCAGCTGGTGGGCCAGACAGTGCTCAACCCTGTGACCATGGTCACCATGCCCTCCTTCCCAGTCAGCACGCTCAAGCTGGCTTGAGGAGGAGGCCACTCAGAGGCCCCCAGTGGGGGCAGGGAGGGGGACCCATCCCCCGCTCTCCCACCCACCAGCTCCACACATTCCAGCCAGGCCCAGGCCCAACCCCCCCCACACCCACCCCCAGGCCTCCTAGGGGAAGGGGGTGCAGAGACTCTGAGCCAGGGGAGGGAGGGCCACCCCAGGGAGCTGGGCACAGGGCAGGGGGTTACCCCCACTGCACTAGGACTTGATCAAGTGATGAGACACTCTGGTGAATGTGCCACTCTATCTGGCCTGGTGCCAGCTCCAGTGCCGTTCCTGCTTCCCCACCTTGTACCCTGCAACCCCGTGCGATGTGGCTGTTGTGTTCTCCTGACTTCCCCGCCCTGCCTGCCTTCCTGTGCTGCTGCTGCTGCTGCTACTGCTCTGGCTGATGAGGTGGCCCAGCTCCCAGCCCTCTGACCTGAGCCTCAGCCTTCTCTTCCCAGGCCCTCAGAGGGGAAGGGGGGAGGGAGCAGGACTGAAGCAACTTGGCCCAGGGGGCTGGGGAGCTGGGTGCCTGGGGGGCTCTGCTCTGAGTACAGGTGACAGATCCTAGGACACAGCTGCTGTGTGGTCCCATCCGGACAGCTGGGCACCCCAGCCTGGGGCTCTCCAACCCAGTCGTAGTCACTGATTTGTTACCACAGAAACTAGTTAAGAGGAAACTCTACCAGCAACTCATCCCATGCTGTTGCTGAGCTCCCTGAGCCCCCCAACCCCAGTCCTTGCCACTGGGCTCCTGACCTCAGGAGGGTAGGCTAAGGGTGGGGGGTGGGAAGGAAGGGCTTGGCCATCCTGCCCCCACGCCCACCCCACCGCTGGCCTGGGGCTGGCCTGAGGAGAGAGCTGCTCTGGATCTGTCCCCAGCCCTGGGCCTGGCTCTTGGCTTCACAAAAGCAGAGGGGCTGGAGTGCGGTCACTGCTGCTGCCCCAGTTCCCTGGCCTCTGCTCAGAGCCGTGCGCGCCCCTGAGGGGTGGGCATGCTGGAGTGCCTCCTGCAGCCTCTGGTCTGGGTCTTAGGAAGTCCAAATCCACGGCCTGGGCCAAATCCCCCGCATCACCCCCTCCCCGCCCGCACGTCCCTGATGCCCTGGGGGGACCTGTAGAGCAGGGAGGAGGACTGCTGCTTGTGCCCCAGCTAATTTGTCTTTGGCATCATCTCTTTCCCCTGAACATCAGCTTTTCTCCAGTGGGCTCTTCTGAGTGTGCCACAGCCTTCCTCTGAGGAAGGTCCTTAAGTTGGATCTAGGGCAAGGCTGAGCTTGGGGTGGGTAGTGAGGGGGCCTTTGTGCAGGGCCTGCTTCTTTCCCTGCCTTTGCCTCTGCCCACTGCTTTGGCTTCTCTTTTTATGTGGGTATTTATTACAAGTGGCCTTGTGTTAGACACACAGTTGTACACACGTGCACACTCGCCTCCCCACCTGGACGCACATGGTGGCCTTTCAGCATGGGGAAAGGAAGCCAGTGTCCATAGGTGTGAAGTTTGCTTCTCCCCCCGAGCAGGGGGAGAAACCTACAGGATACTGAGGAGGCTGGCAGAGGTCCCTTTCAGTTCTTTCCTAGTCTTGGAGACCTCCCAGGGGCCTGTTCTCCTTTGTCTTGCCTGGAGTGGGGAAAGGGAAGGCCTCTGGTTATCCTAGAGGCCCCCAGTAGGGAGCTTCACACCCCACAAGCTCCCTGCCTTCCTGCCCCTGCAGCCACCTCCTGCCAACCCTGGTTCTTGGGGAACCAGTCTCTGCTTTTCCCTGAGTGATACCAACTGAAAGAGCAGAGGGAGCTGGACGGGCCTGGTGCCCAGGGAATAGTCAGAGAAGCATTGGGGAGTCTGCCCTTTCAAGCTCTGTTCACCTCCCTGCATTCTGAGGCCATTCCAGAGTTGAAAGTGTGTCAACCAGTGGCCTCTCGGGCCTGCACAGATACCTCATCCGCCCGCTCACCGCCCCTGCCCCTCCCCACCCCAGCAGTGGGGGCCTTCGAATCTAGTGCCGAATGACTATGTCCAGACTGGTGACGATGGGTGTTGTTGCTGTTGTTTTTGTTGTTGTTTGTGAATGCTGTGATGCTGTGTGCCCAAGAGGGCAGCTGCCGCCCAGCCCTTCCATGGGCATCTCCCCTCTGAGAGCTGTCAGGACCACGTCTGTCCTCACCCTGTGGGACCGCCTGCCCCTCCCCCTCCCCAGCCCTTCCAGCCTGGGGGACGCGTGCGTGCACACACACATATACACACACACACACACACACCTTACCTCTCATGCGTGTTTTACTTTTTGACGTTAAGAGTGGCTCACTGGCTGGGAGCCTTTACCTCGGGGAGAGGGGGAGGTTGGTTCCTTGGGGGCCAAAGAAGGGCAGGGAGTGCCTGGAGGGGAATTGGGGGGTCACTATAACCCCTGCTCTCCAGGAACAGCTTCTCCCCCATCCCAGGGTTCCATCCCCATCCCCCAAAGAGGTGGCCCTTGTTTACAGTGAGGACTCGGTCACTGTGTCTCCGTTTCCTGAAATATAAACTGTAGCGACCCCAGACTGTAGAGATTTTTATGTGTTTGGATACATCTGCTGTGTGGGAAAAAAAAAAAAACCTACAAAAAAACCCTAATTTTGTACATATTGTATTTTTACTATTGAACTGTATTCTAGTGGCTGTTCATGCTCCAAGACTTTAGGTATTGAGACATGAATACTATCCATGTAATAAGCACTTGCCTGGAATAAAATATAAAACTGAAATAAACCTGCACTGAAACCAGAGACGGAGCCGCCAGGCTGCAGCATCCGGGTCACTCTGTTGCCACAGGAGGCCACGACTGCTCCGGAAGGACCTCCAGCAAGAATCATCGGGGGTCTCACCCTGTCGGCGACCCTCAAACGGGTCCTCCAGCAGCTTCCGTGCTGGTCGGGTTTAGAAGATCTGGCCTTCCAGTTCTGACACCAACGTTCAGTCCTCAGCAAGCCTTGAGAACTGCAGTGCTGGTCTTCCTTATGCTTTTGTAATACTTTCTACTTCCTCAAACCATTCCTACAAACACTATCTTGTTTCATCTCTTCACAGCACGGTGGAGTACATAAGCCAAGAACTAGCCCTGTTCTGGCAGGTAAGGAAAAAGGTTAGAGGTGGCCGAGTGACGTGTTGTGGTCACACAGCTAGCCTGGGAGCTTGGGGAGTCAGAGCTCTGGGCAGGGTTCCCCAGCGTGTGCCACTCTGACTTGGGGCCATCCCAAACAGGGATCCCCAACCGGAGAAAGTTCCAATAGAAAGGTGGAGGACTCCCGGGGGGTTGGGGATTGGGGATGGGTGCAAGGAAAGGGGAGAGGCTTCCTGAGAAGGGAGGTGCTTCTGAGGTGCTAAGTCAGGCCAGGTTATCTGGGGAGTCCATAAGGGAAAGGAACAAGAAGTTGGAAGTCAGGACTCAGAGAACCGTGTTCTAAGATGGGTCTGAAAGACCCTTGTCCTTAAAACTGCATCCATCCCAAGTTAGGGGAACCCAGCCCTTTGGCAGGCTGTCTCAGGAAGCGGGCAGGTGAGGAAGCGGCTTAGCTATAGACAGGCCGCCCTGTCCAGCTCCCCGACTACAGCTTCCCCACTCCCAGTCCCAGCCAGAGGAATGGAGTTAGCTTCTCTTCCTGGGAGGGGTTATCCTTAGGGAAGGACGGGGTGGCCACGAATGTCTTGGGGTCCCCTTCTCTGAGGAAACCTCGAGAAAGGCAGATCCGGTGCCCCTCCTGGCCCAACAACGCTGCCAGCCCCTTCGGTTGTGAGATGCTGGCTCCCTCTGCTGGTAGCTACAGGAAAAGAGGCATCCCTTGACTTTAGGAAAAGCCTATAGTTAGGGTTAGTGTCCCACTGTCTGGCACTGAGGACAAAGATGAAGCCTCGGCCTCTGGCAGTGCTGACCCAGTGTCATCTGAGGGCTATCACTGGGTCTTAAAGATAGGCTGGAGCTCCCCCAGCTGGAGCCTGCCAGGGGCCTGAGTAGGAATCCAGGTGCCTCCATTTAGCAGCTCTGTGTGAGCAGGGCTTCCAGGGTTAGAGGGCCAGCAGACCTATGGCTGTAGCTGTAGAATTCCCTCTGGTCCCAGAAGCCCAGCCCCGGGGGATAGGGAGTGCTGTCTAGCGCCAGCCCCCAAGCAGCCCACAGAGGCTCAGGCATTGCCAAATGCTATGTTTATTGGTCTGTTAACACTGAAGAGTATAGTTTCCAAGGAAAAACATAAACACTCTGCTTCTGACAAAATCACTGAGTTACTAAGGCAGGCACACAAGGGCCACCATGCTTGGTGGCAGCCAAGGACTCACAGACAACAGGGGTAGGCAGTGGGGAAGCTGGTCCCCAGATGGGCTATGCGGTGCCCAGGACAGGGATGGGCTGGGGAGACTGTGCTGGAGGCAGAAGGACCACAGGGCCCTTTCCCTGTTCCTCAGATGCAGGAAGTCTCCAGACCGAAGTGACTGCAGGACAGACCCTTGCCCCTGTGGCAGAGTGGCCTCCTGGCCCCAGGGCAAAGCCTTAGCCTCACATGTTTAGGGGTGGAGAAGTGGGGATGGCAGAGCAAGCAGTGTGCCAAGGAGCCAGGCCCTTCCTAGCACCCCTGCGAGTGAGGCTCCTCCAAGGGGGTTCCTGGGTCTCTAGGCCTCTCTGCACCCTGAGAAGCACTGGGGCAGGCAGAGCTGGCCTTGCTTCTTACCAGGGACAAACGGGAGATCCAGGCACCCTCCCCTTCCCCCAGACCCAGGGACTCATGCCTGAGATTGGCGATGGACTGCTCCGAAGCTCCAGGGCCTGTTCCTGAGAGGAGGCTATGAGAGGATTTCCTCCCTCAAGAGTTACCCTGGAATTCCTCTCAAGAGGGAAGTGCTCCCCCTGCATTCTAGATCATCCGGCTGGCAAAAGTGTCACACTGTTGTCAGGGAAGCAACTAATGCATAAAGCAAGAGCCAGGGGGTGAGAGTGAAACCGTGCAGGTGCACGCAGGCACCCCGTGGGGCCGGGGCAGGACATGGGGTCACCTCGGGCGGCCAGAGGTGGTGGCAGTGCAGCTGTGGAGGACTGCTCCCACCCAGGGCCCACATCTTTGGACTCCTGCACCCGGGACCCAGGCCCGAGCTGGCAGCCTGCACTGGGGCTGAGGTGGGCACATGCACGTCGCCTGCCAAGGGACTCGAAGAAGAGATCCAGCACAGAATCCGTTTGCCCATATAACCCATGCAGGGTTGGGCAAGGGCGGGGAGGCAGGCAGCTACAGCCCTGTTAACTCTACAGGGCCTCAGGCTGAGCTAGGAGAGGCTGTGCGAGCAGTCCAGGCTGAGGCTGCAGGTGACGGGGGACTATTCCCAGGTGTCTGAGAGGGGAGCAGCGTAGATGTCTCCCAAGTCAGTCACTCTCTAAGGCCAACCCGTCCCCTTCCTTTCCAGCCCGAGGCATCCAGCCCCCTGACTCGCGACCCCGCAAGGCTAGCGCTGCCCAGAGTCGGATCCCAGGCTCACAAGCACTTTGTTAGGAAAGCGAGTGGGCAGGCAGGGCTGGCTGGGGGTCTGGCAGTCTCAGTGCCGCTGCCCCACTCCCCACCCTGTGCTTGGGCCCGGAGCCCGGGCTCTAGTCGGCCGCCCCTTCCCGGCTGCAGCCATTACTTGTTCTCTATGAGCATCTGCACCTTGTGGACGAGCTCCCGGGCAATCTGCAGGATCTCCTGGGCGTTGTGATGCTCGGCCCGTTCTGGGGGACACACACACAGCTGTAGGGTTGCCGGGACAGGGACAGGCGTCTGGGAGGAGCCCTGTGGCCACCCACCCTGCTGTTCCACCTGCTTCCAGGGACGGGAGCCCTTTCAGCCCTGCCCAGGCCGGGAGTGGGGGCCCCCATGCTCCCACTGGGGGCATCCAGGATGGCTGGGGCAGCTCCTACCATTGAAGAACCTGATGACGTCGGTGAAGTCCATGTTGTTGTCGCGGACGATCTCGCGGTAGGCCTCCACCAGGGCCAGGGCGATGAACAGGACAAAGTGCTCTGATGAGATGTGCCGGGCTGCCCAGATCACCTCCCACACAGCGAACACGTCCTCGTAGAGCAGCTCTAGGGACAGTCGGAGGCTAAGGCTGAGCCTGGCTCCCCAAGGGCCCAAATGGAGCCAAAGGTAGAGACAGAGCTCCAGGGACCCAGGTCCTGGGAGTCTCCCTACTACACAGAACCTAGTCCAAGAGGAGGGTTCCAGGCCCGAGGTCATGCCCTGGCCCTTCTCCTCAGGGATGGACTTCTTGGACACTTGTCACCCAGAGCAGCTCTACTGGGACGGGCCTTGCTGCTTGAGAAGACTTAGCTGGAAAACAGTGCCCAGAACCGCCGGCTGAGGGGACTGTTGGCAGCACTTTGGAATCACCGCAGAAGCTTTTAAAACTGTGGGCGTCCAAGCAGCCAGGCTTCCTCAGGCTGGGGCCAGGGGAGGCCGAGGCACTGGCATCTCCAAACAGCTCCCCAGGTGGTTCTGAAGTGCAGGGAGGGTTAGCAGCCACTGACTCGGGGAGAGTGTCTCCCACCGCCCTGAGCCCAGCCCCACCATCCCACCCACACCTCTTACCTCTCTTAAAATCCAGCAAGAACCAGCGGTAACAGAAGTAAAAGTGGGTGTAGTCTCCATTCTGGTGCATCAGCTCAAATAGCTCTGAGTCCAGGATCTTGCAGAAGTAAAGAAAAGGAAGCAGGACTGAGCCGCCACCGCCTCTCTGGGGGCGGCCACTGCCCACCCACCAGGCCCCTCCACCTGCCACCAGCAGCGCGCTGCCTGGGGAGAGCCCCTCCAGTCTCCTGAGGTGGAGGCTGCACTATGCTGCCCCAGCCAGCTCTCAGGGAGGTGCTCCTTGTGGAACTGTACCACTTTCTGGGTGTTCAATTCACTGTCAACCACACTGCTCACCACAACTTTCAGGAGCGCCATATTCACATGCTGACATTGCCCCTCAATTTGTAATGTTGAAACAATGGTTCTCGAATGAAAGATACCAAGCTTATGTGGAAAGGTCATGTTGGAAACGCTCCCTGGCCTCCCTGTGGGTGACAGATGAGCCCAGTGGTGCCTGGTACCCAGCCCAAGGGCAGCTGCTGACCTCACCTGGATGAGGGAACGCATGTTGGCAAAGTGGGTGTCCATGGCACCCCCATTGGGGAAGTTCTGGCTCATCCGCTTCATGTGGTGGCTGAAACAGCTATAGGCCAGCTGATCTGAGGGGAGATGGGAATGAGGCTGGCAAGGCAGAGTACCCCCATGCCTCACTTCACAGGGGGTGTCCTGTGGCCCAGAGGACAGGGCTGGCTTACACCCCCGCCCTTCCAGACCTAGCGGTCTTCTTTTCCTTTCTCTGGCTGGCATCAGCCCAATCCCAACAGCAGTGGGAATGTGCTCTACCTGCCCCCGACCCCAACTCGGTCCCTCACCGTTGTCCAGGACGACCAGGAGCGGTGCAAGCAGGTCACACATTCCCTGCACATAGCCCACGTCCAGGTGCTCCCACACGTAGCTGAAAAGCCGGGGGTATGGTCACCATGGGGGTGTGCTGTCCTCTGCCCTGTGGGGATCCCTGGGGAGCTGGTCCCTAGAGCAGCCTGCTACCCAGAAGTCGGTCTTTCCACGACCCTGAAACACTGGGACAACCATGGTCAAGAGCCCACGGTTTCTGTCCTTGAGGCCCTCGGGGGCTCAGGCGAAGAGATGGTGAACTGGCTGGGGCAGTTAGGGGGCAATCAGCTTGGTTTCCTGGAGGAGTCTGGCTGAAGCTGTGAACTGACAGACCTCAGACAAAGAAAGGGGTGGAGCAGGGAGCACGGCAGGCAACGCGTTCCAGGCAGAGAGCACAAAGTATGATTCAGCGCAAGGGAGAGGAGGAGGGCACCTGCCAGACCTAGCCTTCTTCCCCTCCCCACCTTGACCTCCCCGCTGTAGCACCTGCACATGACGTCTCTGAGCCTCTCCAGGTTGGGGGGCGTGAAGTACCAGTAATTGCGGTCACAGCGCTGCACATCTTTGTCAATGCGGTGCAGGTTTAAGGCCATAGTATCCAGTAATTCTATCTGAAAGAGCGGGGGCCCCTCAGGAGTGAGTGGGGGCTGGCAGGGACCCCTAGATAGCAGAATGCAGAAACCCCAGGACTCTGAGGACAGAACCCTCCAGGGATGTCGAGGGATGGGCTTAGTGCCCCCTATGTGGCGGTCAGGGTGCCCCCACCTGCCACCCACCAGCCCCTGTCCCCAAGCCTCAGGGTCAGGGTCAGGAGGGCCTCTGGGGCTGGCTGCGAGCAGTGCCCGGGGAACATCCACATACAGTGTAGGCAGTAGCACACACGGCCGCCAGCTCCTCCCCTGCCTCCGGCTCGCTAGCCCTCGAGGCCTTCTGCTGGCTGGGATCTGGGGGCTCCGAGAAAGCACCGGCTGCTGGGCCCAGCCTGCTGGAGTCTTCCTCCCCACCGCCATCCTCCTCTTCAAAGCCCACGCTCTGCGTCTCGTCTATGCTTGACTGGATGCCCGAGGCCACGGAGTAATTGCGAGAGGATGGCAGTCCTGAGTCCGGAGAGTCAAACTCCACGGACTGCTGCCGTCCTACCACGGCGGTGCCCAGGGGCCCTGCTCCTAGCTCCTGTGCGGGCTCCGGTCTGCAATCTTCAGTGCCTGGGGGCTGTGGGGGCTCCAGGTCATCCACAGAGAGAAATACCTGGTGGTGGTGAAGAAATGGTGGGGCTCATACCCCCTACTCCAGCCCCTTCCCTCAGTCTCCTTCCTGGAGTCTGAACCGGGCCTCGTCCTGGCCTCCACAATGCACCTCCACCCGGCTTGCCGAGCCTCCCCTTCTGGCCCAGGCAACCAGCTGGAGAGCAATCAGGCTCCAGGCAAGCGGAAAGACACCATATTTAGCCCTATCTAGTTCCCCTCCTGGGCCTCTCTCTGGGGCCTGAGAAAAGGCGGGAAGCATGCCAGAACTTCCCGTAGTGGCCACAGGGAAGGGGAACTGAAGGCTCAGACACTGGATGGCCAATGTGAGCCACATGTAGATCTTCAAACACCGAAGTCACAAGGCAGCCTCAGGTCAGGAGAGCTGTGCACGAATGAAGGCTGCCCCCAGCCTTGGGGTGGCTGCTGGGGCAGCCCAGAGGGCGGCAGGCTGGAGGTGTGAGGAAAACAGGTTCTTCCTATGTTCAGAATCGGACATTTAGCAGAAAAAGGCAGGAATCTTCTCTAGCCTAATCAGTTACGGGAGCTTCACACAGGCTTAGGAGGGGGGCTTTAAGAAGTGAAAGATAACCTGTTCTAGATTTGTAACAGTCTGCCACTGTGGACAAGTCCTATGAAAAAAAAAAGAGACATATACAGACGGTATATGTATACAGATTTTCTATTTGGACTATGTAGGGAAAGGGACGCTAAAAGGAGTTTTCACTCTGGCAACAAGCATAAGGCATTGGGTTAGAATCAGGAAAGGCAGCACAGAGCCCTGCATCAGTGCCAGCAAGGAAAGCTATTGCTGCTCGTGGGCTAAGCAGCGGGGGCACCAGTACAGACCCGGGAAGGCACAGAACCCAAAGGCGGAGAGAGAGAGCACGCTCACGAACAGGGGAATAAGAATAAGGCACACAGAAAGGAGTGCAAAGAATTCTCTTGGTGTTTATATTTCTTTAAGTCTTGTTCCAGCTTCAGTTCTTTGTTAGTGCAAGGATTTAGTAAAGTAACAAGAATAGACATTATCTAGAGAGACAATTTAAAGGGAAAAAGCATAAGTTAGTCAAAGAATAGGAACTTCTTATCGTTTCTGGTTTGGCCCAGCAGCCGTAGTGTGGAACTCGCTGTTCATCTAAAGGCCAGGGTGAGGCCAGGAGAACTACGTAAGCTCTGAACTAGCTTTGCACCGTCAGTTCTATAGGGAACAGAGGACACCATGGTGGGTGGTGGGGTTGGGGGGTAGTCTTGCCAGTAGTTGCCGATGGGAGCCCTCTGTCCTGGTCTCTGATCGACAGCTCTTGGTGAAACCTCCACGGTCAGAGGACAGCAGAGCTAAGAGGCGGACAACAAGCCCCAGAGAAAAGGAGTTGCTCATCTCACTGGCCATGGACTTGGGTCTTCAACCCTGGGCTGCCTGTTTCTAGCTTTGAAAGATCTCTCTACAAGGAAGGAGGACTTCCCTAAATCCTGACCCAAGCTTCTTTCCCCGTTTGTCCATTAAAACAGAACACAGTGCACTATCTCATTTTATTCCTGTGACACTCAGAGAAGTGGGCGGCAGGGGGACCGTCAGCCGGCTTTTCAGCAGAAGAAAATGAGACACAGACACATTAAGCCATTCTCCCAGTGACTCCTAGAGTTCAGTCTCGTGCTCAAGACTCCGCCTTAATCCTATAGAACGCCAGTGGCCCCTGCCCCCAGCTCCCCCAGGTCCCGTCAGGCTCACGTCATTGCTGATGGTGGAATCTCGGTGGACGAGGCGCTGAACGTGGCTGTCGATGCTGCTGCCTGAGGAGAACTTGGTGAGCGTGGCTGGCTGGGCCTCCCGCTCCCGCTGCCTCACCACCGCCTCGCAGGCCTTCCACTCGGCCAGCACCCTCTTGTACCTTGCTGCCACAGCTGAGTCCACCTGTCCAAGAGCACACTGTGACCACAGAGGTGGGGGAGCGCCCCAGGACAGCTGGAGACCAGGATTGGGCCTAGCGGTGAAGACAGTGGGGCTGCTCTGCTAACACCTTCCTCTGCCATATTTCTTTCCAGCTGGGAAGGGGCCAAGGCTTGAGAGGCCCCTCCCTGGGGCCCCTTGGCCCAGCTCCCCATCTCTCTACCCCATGGGAGTGGGGTCCCCTTACCTGCTCCATCTCTTTCTTGCTCATGCCAAACTTGTAGTGGCCAAGCAGAAAGGGCCAGACGTCCTTACGGATTTCGTGCTCCACGCCCCCGTAGTAAACCTGCCGGAGCAGCTCCAGCTCCTTGTAGTTCTGAGGGACCCGGGAAGGAAAGACCGTAGAGCCCCCATGGTCACTACAGCCCCACGGGGTGACCCTGCCTCCATTCCTCTCATGGGGGGCTGGGGACAGTGATTCTGTCAGGCCACTGAAGCCAAGGCCAGCCCTGCTTTGGGGTGGGCATGTCCTCCCTGCCCCAGATCACAGCTGGATGAGATCCAGTTCAACCTCCTTTCCCTCCAGGACAGGCAACAGAGATTTGCCCAAGGTTTCAGAATAATGTGGAAGCAGACTAGGACCCGTCCATCCCCCTTCCCACAGAAGCCCACAGACCCAGCTGTCTGAGATTCCACCATGACCTGGGCCACCCCAAGGCTCTCAGTCCTGACCTCTATTACATTTTACTTGAATGCACATCTGGTCAATGAGAGCTACTCCCAGGGCAGCCTGCCCCATACTCGCTGCTGCTTTTGCCTGCCTCCCACCCCCAGCCCCTTGACCCAGCCTCTGGCCCTGGCTCCTCAGAGTGTGCACCTTTTCGTCCTTCTGATATTTGCTCCACACATCCTTGGTGAGGCCCCCTGAGGCCCCCTGGGGCCGGGTGGGAGGGATGATGTTGTGATGCACCAGCGCTGACAGATGGGTCCGTACCGTGGACAGGTGGCGGCAGTAGGCCAGCCCTGTGGGGGGCAGGGGTAGCCAGGACCCATGACAATGGTGCCTCCCCCAGCTCTCCCTGCTCTTGGCCCCACCTCACCCTACACTCACAGCCATAGAAGGCCCGGGACACGATCTGCCTCTTCATGCTCTCACACAGCAGCCTGAGGGGCAACCTGTGGAAATAACCTGGCTCAGAGGGGAGGGGATCGGCCCCTCTGGTGGGAGGAGGTTGAAAGAGGACATTCTGGTCTAGGGGCAGGTAAGGTGCTCGGGTGGTATGAGGAGTAGGACCAGCTGCCCAGTAGCACATCTGTGGCCTCCCTGGGTCTGTCAGTCACCCTAGATGGAGCTGCTGGGGACCTAGCCTGGCCCCCAACCACCCAAGAGATTTTGGGCAACTAACTTCACTTCATGTTAATGAATCTTGGTTTCCTCAGGTGAAAATAGAGAACCATCTCAGGGTCACGAGGAGTCACAGGCAAAAAATGAAGTTAACAGGTGGAAGAGAACAGCCTGTGAAAGCATCAGGGGCTCGCGTGTGGCCCTCACACAAATGCCATCCATATACCCGGCACCTGGCAGTGCCCAGATATCTGGTGTGCGCCCTCAGATGCACAGCCTGATGGCAGAGTCCCTGTCCACATTGGGAAGGAGAGTGCCTGCATGCTGAGTACCTACTATGTGTGGGGCACGGCTCTGGGCACTGAGTCACACACCTCCTTTGGTCCTCACAAGTACCTTAGAAAGGAGGTCCTATTATTCCCATTTTACAGATGAGGAAACAGAGGCTCAGAGCCGTAGAGGCTCACAGGGACTCAGTAACACGTCAAAGCCACATAGGTAGCAGAAGGGAAATTGAACCAGGTCTGTCCAGCCTGAGGCCACCCTGTCAGACAAGTGACACAGCCACTAAGGGCAGAATGCACACAGGCAGACCCAGCCACAGGGCCCACTCACCGGTCGGGGACACAGCTGCAGTGGCTGGGAGTGGCATATGGGGAGCTGCGGGTGGAGCAGAAGAGACAGGAGCCCTGGCTGCACAGGGACTCCAGGTGCCAGGCTGGCAGGCTGGGCCCGAAGCCCTGCATTTCGATCATGTCGCCAGCATCTGAGGACAGAAAGGGGGCCATGGTCAGGGCCTGGCGGGCCTCCCTCCCCACTAGCACCCTATAGCATGCCCACCTCTGTGCCCAGAGCTGCAGCATGAAGTCACCCATTGGTAGAAAACCACCAAGGTGGCGCCTGCCTGGTCCAGAGCCCCGGATGGAAATGGTGGAGAGAGAGGGAGCTTGATGCTTCCCACCCTCTGCCTAGTCTTTCTGCGTGTGATAAAATACTTGGTCTGAGTTGTGGATACTTGTGTCTGTTCTCACCATCTTGCTATTGGCGATGGAAAAAACACTTGTTTTTCTAGAGGGCGGAGCAAAAAAAAAAAAAAAAAGGAGCAAAAGCCTAAGCTCTTTTAAATGCCGCCAGCTGGCTTTGCCCTCGACGATTCAGCCTGGTCGTCCTGGACAAACTCTGAGCTGGGCAGGAAGGTGCCAGGAAAGCGGCAAGCCTTGGAACCTTCCCACATCAGGAGTCTCCACTGATCAGAGCTCCTGAGGATCCCAGAGCCACTCGTCCTGGTCCCCAGACCTTACCCCTCAGAGGGTTCTAGAACCTGTCACAGGTTAAGGAGGAGCAGTGCTCCCCCACCCAGCTAGGTGCCCTTGCTGCCAACTCATACAGGTTCTCCCTGAGTTCTCCGGCCTCGCCCAGCCAGACTGCACTGAGCATGGCGGCCCCCTCCACGCACACAGGTGAGCTGGCAGGAAGGGCAAAAGTCCCAGGGCTGTCAGGCCATTGTGGGGCGGTGGCTGGGCACCTAGTTCCACCACCTAGAAGAACGTGCCCAGTGCAGCCTCAGAAGATGGCTCCCTGGACACATCTATGCCACCAGCGGATGGAGCCTTTCAGCCAGCCCAGCTGGTCTGAGTCAGAACTCAAGACCCTTGAGAGTTCCTAGGGCCCAAGTGGGGCAGAACACTGCCCACAGCGGACTCTGTGAGTCACAAAGACGAAGCAAAGTGAGGGTAGAAAGCGTAAGGACGAGGAGATGACGCCAGGAGAGAACGGGAGAGCACAGAAGAGGGAAGAAGGAAAGACAGCTGTACGTCAAAGTACAAAGAAACTTTTCTCAAGCAGCACTTTTTCATGTGAATCACAGCCTGGGCCCTGGCCTGCTAGGAGTCTGGTGCAGACCTAGGCCCGATTTTTGTCAGACTAAGCCTTGGTGGGGAGGGCGGAGCCAAGCCCCCTCCAATCCCCTCAGGAGATGCCCTGTCTTGGCCTGAGGCTCTCTTCTCAGACCCACAGCTGGGATTTTTGTAGCTACCTGGCCCTTCAGCTCCACCAGGAGGCAAATTAAGGGAACATACTCAGTGTGGAAAGGGCTGCGGCTCTGGGAGTGAGGAGTTGCAAGCCATGCCCAAAACTGGGAAGAAGAGGGAGGGGACAAATGCAGGTTCGGTGGGGCAGGAGCCCAGCTCCTGCCCTTGCAACAGGCAAGAGAAAGGCCAGTCATGAGAGGGAGGGTGGGAACAGGCCCAGCCAGGCAGGCAGCAGGCAACAGGCGGGCAGGCGGGGGGGGGGGGGGGGGCGTGACAGGTGCAGAGGATGAACGGTGGGCACATAGGGAAACAAGCTCATGCCCAAAAAGTAGGGCCCAACCAAGGCAAGACTCCTGGGTCAATGCTCTTCACCTTAATTCTCCAGGAAGGAGCTGAACCAGCCAGCATTGAACACTGCATCTCTGAATTAACCCAGTGCAGACAGCTGGAGCTCTGGAGTGACTGGGTGAGGGGCAGCAGGCTGGACACGGGGGGGATTGGGGGATCTGCTGGGCCAGCTTTGACTCTGACTCTCTCCTCTGAGCATGAGGAAAGTTTGAAGCAAAAACGATCAGGATGGTTGAACCCCACAGCCCCTAAGACTCCGAGTGAAAGGTGCCTGGCCTGGAGCAGAATTAGAGTGAACAGCATCTCTGCTCTGTGGGGAGGTAGCAGGAGGAGGAGGAGAAGTGGGGGGAGGGGGAGGAGAGTCTGGACACCCGCCCCTTGATTCACATGCACAAGTCAAGCATGTGGCAGGCCTGAAAAGCAACGGCTAGTAGAACGGACTCACGGACTCGACAGTGTTGTCATTACGGACTAGGGCGGGGGTAGGGGCTCCCATCACAACCCCAACCACCTGCCAATTCCCCTCTCCTGCCTCCTCTCCTCTCCCCAAGTACCTGGGGCCCAGGGCCTGCATACTGGGTTGATCTGGTTCCCGAGTTCCCCCAAGAGGAAGCCCAGACAAGGCCTGAGGCCTCTGGGCTCCATAGGCACGGGGGCTTCTCTGACCCTGGAAGCCTTAGCCCTAAGACTGGTCAGGGTTGGGCTTCCTACCGCCAAGTCTGCCAAGACAGGGGCTCTGTGGGAACCCCCCCAAGCCTCCAGCCTGATATCCGCTCATGCTGTAGGAAAAGGATCCTTGTCCTTCCTGACTCAGCCTTCCTACACTGCTCCAAATACCTTAGCCTGTAAATAAGCAGCCCCGAGCCCAGGTTTGCAAGGAACCAGATGGCGAGCTGTGTGCAGACAATATCAGAAGTGAGGCTCCCTTGCACTCCTACCAGGGGGACCTGTCCAGGAGGGCTACAAGGGAGGCAAGGCACAAGGGCAGGCATGTGGCAGAGAGGGGGCAGCTGCTAGGGCTGTGCTGAGGGTGTGCTAGGTGGATGCTAGGCCACAGACTTAGTTTCCCAGGGAGTGGAGGTGGGGGGTGCTCATTGCTGATTTGGTGTCTGGGCTAAGGAACTGGGCTGTTTGGCAGAAGTTTGTGGAAGCATAAAGGGCATGTCACATATTCTTAGATACCCTCTGTAGGGTCAGGAAAAGGGGAGAAGAAATTAATTCTATGGCATGGGAATGGGTGGGGATGGAGAAGTTCCCTTGAACTCCAAGAAAGCAGGCCCCAGCCCTTTCATAACCGGTTTTCCCTTGAGCATCCTGGCCTCGACTTCCCAGGTTACCTGGCCGAGTAACTCTGTAAAGAGTGGGTTTCTCCTTCTCTACCGGCCTATCTGTGTGCTAAGAAGGATGGGTGGTGAACAGAGGAACCAACGCCAAGGAGCTCTAGGCACTGTGCTGGGTCGTTTACAATGAAGGGACCTCCTCTGTGATCAGTGGCTCTGAGGTCTGGGAGGGTGGGAAACACCTGTCTTAGATCTCTGGTGCGTTTATTTCTAGAATGCATGCTGAGACAGCAGGTAGTACCTGCAGGAGCCATCAGCCTTGCTGGGTAAACCCAGCCCTGGGTCCCCTTCCGCTGTGGCTCCAACCCCTCGCCTGAGCCAGGGACTCATTCAGGTGAGCTGTCGAGCCCTCACCCCTGCTGGGGAGGGGCCTGTACCTCTATCCTGTTTCTGTTAAGTCACAAGTCAGAGGTACAGGGCCAGGAGGCCAGTCTTCCCAGCCAGCAAGGGAGAAAGAGAGAGACACTGCCTCAGGTTTGCCAGCATGACCCCCAGGTACAGCGCTTGGAAAGACATTCGGGGTTCCTGAGAGGCAACCAGATGGTCTGATCTTCCTACCAGAGGATCCTCCCTCTCGGGCATGAAGCCCTCTCCCTTACAGACTCGATGGGGAGCCCAGAGCCCCCTGCTCTTTGTACCATCCCCTCTTCTTGCCAGCGCCTCTTTCCACCCTCCCTGACCTGCTTCCTGATGGGGGACCACCCCAGTCTCATAACGCCAACACTGCCGGCCGAGCCCCTGCAGAGGGTGGCAGGTGGGCCAGGGGGCGGGGCGGGGCGGGGTGGGGCGGGGGCGGGGCAGGGATAAAAACCTTTCATCGGATTGGGAGCTGTGAGGTTCCGCGAGCAGATCATTGAGAGCATCGCGTGCAGTTTATCCTCCTCTTCCTCATCATCGTCCACCGAGGCCGCGCGGCTGGCCGCTAGGTGGTGGTAGTTAATAGTGACTGCTCAAAGAGAACAGCGAGAGAGGCAGAGGCATGAGCACCTGGTCCTGGTGGGAGGCACCAGACTCCCTCCTTGCAGGCAGGGGGCCAGAGAGTCTGGGTCGCCTTGAACCTGCTGGCGCTGAGAACAGGCTGGGGGACCGAGAGCTCTCTGAATGATTTACTGGGGACAGTGTGGAAGAGAGTGAGGGCAAGGTGGCAGCTCCAGAGCTCCATGGGAGGAGACCCTGTCTACGAAGAACAGAAGACGGAGAACTAACGGGGGAGCAAGGGGAGTGAAAGACAGGGACCAGTGGGGACAGGCAGGCAGCTCAGGAGTTCCCCAGCCCTGGCCAGAGCTGGCACGACTGCTGGCAGACGGATCCTGATCGTTCTCCAGATCACGTCATGGTCAGGCTGAACCAAATCTGCAGATTACCCCAAATCCCCCTCCTGAGACTGTAAATCCAAACTTCGTCAAGGTTTGCCCAGAGCTGCATACGAGAAGCCTGAGTGACTCCATTGGGTTTCAGTTCCTGGGTACCCTGGCTTGCCCTCTGGGGACACAGTCCTTAAAGCAAAGTGACCAGAACTAAGAGATGCCAAGGCTTAAAGAGGGGACGTGGGTCATCTCAGCTGAGCAGCAGCCCAAGATTAAATGGCAGGTTTGCAAACACGTTCTGACATAGGCGTGGCTCCTAGTTAAGCACCTCTGGGAGGGGAGTCCAACGGCCCCCCCGTGGCTCATGTCCATCAGGCCTATTGGGGCTATCTGGGCTACGGCTCTGTGTTTGCTGTCTGGGTCATCTGTCTGCTAATGCAGAAACAACTTGCTGACAGCTTATTGGCACAAGTTAGGAAATTTAGGAACCAGGTGGCCCAGTTGGCAAAAAATGCTCTGTGCTCATAATTCCCTGAGCTTATCCCAAGACTGGGGAGTCTGGCCCAGAGAAACCTACAGAGAGCAGCAGCACTCACACCAGAAAGGGAACACTGATGTTGGCAGATACGTAGACAGGCCCCATGGGCCCAGTGGTATGTGTCCAGGTGGGGCAGGACCCACGAGTGCCAAGCCATCTCTCGGACCCCAGTCACCAAGGATCCCTGACCAGCTCCAAGTTTCACCTTCAGGTGCAACCCTACTCCAACTAAAGCTCCTCTGACCAGTAGCTGGTCCGAGGAGGGCTCTGGCTCTGGGGAATCAGGAACAACTTGCGCCATCCAAAAGGAAGCACTGATCCTACACCCAGGCTGCTTTGTGGCAGGCGGGCCGTGGGCCCTGGAGGAATGGAGTTCTCCACCTTCCCTTTCTAGTCTTACCACTTTTTTTTTTTTTCCCCCCCTCAGGCCAGGGTAGGAAAGGCTTAGAGAAAACTGTACAGTACTGGCTGAGGCAAGTATCTTGGGGTGACAAGGTGGGGGAAGACAGCCAGGTAGAAGAGAGGCAGCTTCTCAGAGGGTTGATCTGCAGGGGAAGGTCTGGCGAGAGGCCTGGTCGGTGAGTGGACCCTGCCTGCCACCCCTCCTGGGTGACACGGCACTCCCCCACCTCCCTGAGCGTCTTTCTCTCTTCCTCCACGGATGAAGGTTGAGACACTCACTGTGCTCATGCCTGTGGCCGGGGTAAATGATGCGGAACACGTAGTCTGTGGCCCGCCCGGTGCCCATCTCCTCCATATCCATGGTCCGCATGCTGTTGCGTTTCCGTAGCTTGGGGAACACTTTCCCCTGTGGAGGGAAGGGTGGGGGGGTCGGCCTGTGCAGAGCAGGTCTGATCCCTGGTCCTGCCCTAGGGAGACGCTAAGAACTCCAGTGTGGAAAGGAAGGAAGTGAGCAGAGAGCCCCCCTCACACATCCCGAGCCCTGAGGTACCTTCCCCTGCTGGGTCCAGAGCGGGGGCTCTAGCTGTCCTCGGGGCAGCAGCCCATTCTCCAGGCAGGACAGAAAGGAAAGCAGGTGGCCTCCCTGTGGGAAGTGCAGCGGGGGCCTCTGGATGCCATCCTGGCTCACCAGCACGAGCGTGCCACCACTCTCTGTGGGGTGTACGCACACGGGTGAGGCTGGGCCTCCAAGACCCCGTGGTCACCACCACAACCCAGTCAGCCAAGCCTCCCGACTGGACGCATGGGCATGACGGGAGGAGGCCAGGACACCCAATGGGCCCTGTACAGCATGTGGCCGGGAAGGGGCTGTCTCTTTCTGTCCTCAACCCTGTGCCCAGGACAAGGGAGGCTCACTTTGCTGGTGGCAGTGGATGCAGACGATCTGACTGAAGGGAACAACCAGGGCATAGTCCCAGTAAACGCTGGAAAGCAACCAGATCGATGTCACTGTGTCACGAGACCCGTCATCCCACTTTCTTCATTTCCCACCGCCAAAACCTGTGAAATGACCCTGAAGACAGGAGGACTGTGGCCGAGAAGTGACCTCGCCCAGGCATGTCCATCTGGGCCTGTGCTGTCATGGCACAGAGCCTGGCAGTCTCAGCTGCCTCGCGAGCTTGGCTCAGGCCAACCTCTTCATGCCCAGGCCTGGCTTGATCTTAGAGAGCTTGGGACTCTCTCTGGGCAGCCTATTCCTGCAATTCTTGGCATCAGGATAAGGAGTGACGCCTACCTCCTGGAGCAAGCGGAGTCTGTGCACCCCCTGCCTGGAGTCCCAGAGCCCCCACCTTTTCTCCAGCTCGGAGTCCCCCAGAGTCCCGTTCATGAGCTGGTTGGGGGTCCACTTCAGAGTTAGGCTCTCTGCAGCCTGGTGCAGGGAGAGGTAGCCAGGGACGGCCTCCATGTCCTCCTTCTGTGGGGAGGAAACACAGCAGAAGGCAGAGGTAACAAGGTGCTAAGACTCCCAGGAGAGGCCTCTGAGACCTAAGCTCCAGGCGGGAGCTGGGGAGCCTGAGCTAGCACAGTCCCAGGACCCCGGAATGGAGGCCAGGAGGAAGGAGGGGAGAACATGAGCTGCATGCAGATGGGGGTCCCTCCTCTCCCTGGCTGGCCTGGGGCTACTGGCTCTGTTCTCTGTTCTGTCAGCCTCCTGGATACCAGGTATGTCCTGGGCCAGCCATACCCAAGCCAGGAGTTCATCCTGCCATCCGGCTGCCATTCCCACCTTCGGAGAGCCTGCTTCTCAGTTAGCAGTGCAGATGCTAACTAACAGAGTCGGTGGCTGCCAGCTCCGTGCTGGACACAGGGCATATGAGGGCAAAGTAAGGGGGAGCGGGAGGTCCCACTTGCTTCTCTATAGTCAAGCCCCTGAGGAAGGGGACACATGTGACTGGAAGGTTCCAGTCCTGGGCCTTTCTGAAGAGGGAGAAGAGGGCATTCAGTTTTCTTACCGGCTGCACCAGCACGTTGTTCTTGCCGTAGAGAAGCCGCGTCCTTGAATTCTGGTGCAGGGACTCCACGTACTCACGGGCACAGGCAGCCAGCCTGTCCTCTGCCGCGCTGCCACTCGAATGCCGCTTCCGGATCTAAACAGGAAGGCACAGCTCAGCCCGCAGCCCCAGGATATCTGCCTCAGACAACACGAGGTTTCCACACAGACCCTCTCTAACTGACCCAGGGGTCCATTCTGTCCCGGGTCTGCTCTCGGCCACCCTCCGCCCTCCAGCCACGAGCCACTGGTGTGCTCCTGGCGTTTATGTGAGTGCCAGCAGGGATAAAAGGCTCTCCTCTCCTGCAGTAGCCATGACCTTGATGCATCTCTAAGGTCCAGCCTGTGTCTGCAAGAACACAGAGGCCAAGCCGCCCTTTCCTACAGGGCCATGGACATAGCCTGGATAAGTATAAGGGGTGGGGAGAGGGATACCTACTCCGAGGGCTGGGCGCTTTGCAGGGGAGTCCTGGCGATTAGGGGGACCCCGGATACGGTGCCTCTGGACCAGCTCATCCGCGGACGGGTCAGTCCAGTAGTGATCAGCCGTCTTGAGCTTGGTATACTCCAAGGCACAGGGTCCCACTGTGGAGACAGGGACAGTTAGCTCTGATGGGGCCCCTTCAGCACCTGCCCCTCAGTCCCCACCGGCCGGCCCAGCACAGGCTTCTCTGCTCTCAGGCTCACCTAGAAGAGAGGCCAAGATGGGGCCAAACACAGGATCTGACAGTAACGCCTCCTTCTCGTAGTACTTGCTGCCAGGGGGAGAGACAGACAGGGGGGTCATTCCAGGACAGTCAAGCCGACCAAGTATGGACATCCCCACAAAGACCCTTTCATGGGAGTCACTAATAAGAAATGAGTCCACAAGGACTGAGCTCTGTGGGGAGCGCAGTGTGGTCTATGCTTTCCGGATGAGAGAGGGGAAGATGGGGCATGCCTAGACACTGCTGGGGACAATCACGCATGCTGAAGGATGGGGCTGAAGGACTGCTCAGGAGGTGAGCCCCAGGGAGGGGCTGCTTGGGGGATGGGGCAGTCACCTGCAGTTCTCTACCAGGTACTGCATGACCCTGTCCAGCACTTTCTCGATGAGTGCTGTGCGCACCCATATGTGCTTTAAGGCCTGCAGGCTGAGTGCTGGGGCCTTCCCGCCGGCAGAGCCCTGTCTCCGCAGGGCATCCTGGTTGCCTGCTGAGGGTTTCCTGCAAAGAGATGGTGGGCTTCAGAAATGGAGGGTCTTGGGGGGAAGCCCCAGACAGGCAGCGCTAGGAGCAGAGTTTGGTGCCACAAGAACCCAGAGGAATAACGAAGATGAGGGGTTGACATGGGGGCTTGTGTCCAAAAGGAGCCAACCCCCACCCTGAGACTGGTCTTTCACCCCAGGGACCCTGCAAAAAATGAGCCCAGGAATCCAGCCTGGGAAGCAGCAAATGCCAAGTGCAAGGAGCAGAGGGGTGTGATGGGAGGAGCAAGGCCAGGGCTCACCTGCTCTCTACTTGTTGCTGTAGCTCCTGTACCTTGTGGCAAATCTCCCCAGCCACTGGGCACGTCTTCCCCACCTTGGTGAACAGGGCGGCCATCTTGTCACTGCGCAGGAAGCCGGCAGCACGCCGTCTCAGCTGATGTAGGAGGCAAGCCTCCACTGCACCTGAGCCGCAGAGAAAACCAGCACCTGAGCCTGGGTGCAAGGGGGAAAGGGAGAGTGGAGTACGGAGTACCGGCAGGCCCTGACCCATGCTGGGATGAGGGAGAGGGGCAGACCAGGACCATATGCCCCAACCTCCTTCCGAAATTCCCCTCCCTGTCTCTCCGACCCTTCCCAGTGTGGACCTTCAGGGGCTGACATGCCATAACATCCCTCTCCCTGTCCTTGCCTGGTGTGTACATGCCTCCTGTGTGCAGTACTACCCCAGGACTGTGAGGACCAAAGCTGCCAGTTCCAGTGGCTCCTCCCCCACCAAGGTCAAGCATGGACAGTCCCGACAGGACAGGGGATGCAGGGAGCACACAGCCTGGCAGCCCTCCCGGAAAGCATGGACGATGTGGTTGCTAAGGAAAAGGGCTCTGGGAAGGAGGTGAAATATTGATGAGGCCACGGCAGAGATCAGACCCAACAACAGCTCCTGAATTATTGATGAGCCCTGCAGCCGAGAGCGAGAGATTTCTATTTCCCATGCTGGCAGGATTTCCCTTTACTCATTCATGTTTTTAGGGGCTAGTTTATTCCCCCCATCTGGATCCTGCAGAAAGGAAAGAAGGACTTGGGGGGAAAGAGTGGGAAGTTGCCCCAGGCATGTGCAGAGTCTAAAAATATTAGTATGAATGGGGGGTGCTCACCCATTATGAGGAGGGAAAGGCCCAGAAAGAGGAAGGGAGTTGATCATAGTCATTCAGTGGCAGAGCCAGAACCACGATCCAGGATCTTAAACCCTGGCCCAGGCCCTTTCACTTCTTCCGGGTGTGTTGGGGGGCCCCATAGGTGGAAGAAAGAGGGGTCCCCTCATGTCACACGGGTGTTCTTTCTATATGGACTGACAACAGTGCTATGACGGAGGTGGGAGTCAGAGCAGGGTCTGGAGCTTAGCACATGACCAGGGAAACATGGGGGAAAACACTGAGCCTGTTTTCACCTACGAAATGGGGCTACTTCTTAGGACTGGCATGAAACATCACACAGGATGAACTGAGTAAAGTCCTTGCATTAGTCTGGCACGGAGGAGGTACTCTGTCTTTGTCGGGTGCCTGAGTCCTCAACCCTTTTTAGCGAGATCCTGTTCCACGGTTAACCTGCAAGGGCTGGGTTTTTGCAAGACTCTCCCTGGCAGGAAGAGGAGAGAGGGAATCACAGGCTGCCCAGAGGTAGGTGGAGATGCTGTTCTCTCAGGAAGAGGGGAATTAAGGTCCCATCAGCTTGACTGTGCCTAGGGTCATTAGAATATGAAGCCTGGCCTTGGGAAATAACCACTGATCCCAGGCTCTCTCTGGTTTTTGTTCTCATTTTCAGTACTTACAGGCAGTCACTGCTGTCCTATGAGTTGTGTCTGACCCTCTCTTGTATTGAAGTCAAGAGGTTGGAAAGAGTCCTGGGGACCAACCTGTAGGTCTGACCCAGGGGAAATAAGGCAGGACCCTCCCTCTCCTAGGAGCTTCCTACTGGGCTCTTCACTGCTCAGGTCTCAGAGGACTTTATTTTACAAGGCACAGCCTTTCCCTCCCAGCATGTGCACACATGTGTGTGCACATGTGTATACAGACGGATATACCTGCACATATCATGTGTATATGGTGCATGTGGGAGAATCTCTCCTTAAGTGTCCATATACTCTACTCCATGGCTGTCCCCTTGGTCCCTGGAGGTTCTGTGTGGCCCTGTGCACAGGTGAGTGAGACCCGGTCTCTTGATCCTGGGGTTGCAGCACCAATAGGAAAGTGGTGACCATTCCCTGGGGTTGCACTCCCCGTTTCGGGGGGAGAGAAGCAGCATTGAATGTGACCAGAGTGGCAGCAGGTGGCACCAGTCCTAGAGGGAATCATGCGCCTCAGTAATGTGACTAACTGCTGGCATAATGAGTCATTAGCCTTCCCACCTTCCCCAGGAGATTGCAAATGCAGCCAGGCTGGGGAGCCGGGACTTGCAGGTAGTTGTGCTTCTACCCGCCGGGCCGCACCCACACTCTCAGGAAGCCTCTGGGCACAGGTGTTAGGGTTCTCCGGGGTGAGCAGAGGGAAATACTGCAAGTAGAGAATCTTAAGAGAAACCCAGACATCATGCCCAGTACTCTCCTGCTCATGGCATAGCCCCTAAGTTCCTTCTACGGAATGCAGGCAAGGTGCCAGGAAATGTCTGGGGAAGAAGAAATCCCTCGCAACTCTCTACCTTCCAAGCAACGTAAATGACCCTCTATGCCAGGTATTCTTAACCCAGCCATGCACTCCTTGGCCACTGACTGTTCAAACTGCACTTGTCCTTCCCCATCCCCACAGGGCTGTCGGCCCACCCTCCACCGATGTCAGCACATGCAATGAAAATTATTGCGTGCAGCACGTAGGCACAATAGTAGTAACAATAACTCTAATGATAACTGAGAACTACTATCCTAAGAGGGTTTGTAGGTGAGCTTCTGTGCCTTCCAAAGACCCACAAATATTGCATACAAAATCACTGGTGTGCTCCAGCATGCTTATGTGAGTATTTTTCCAGATAAAGTATCCATGATTTTTAGCTTCTAAAAGGGGTACTTGACCCCCAAAAGCTTTAGAATCCCTGCTTTAATACTTTTGGGTTGAGCTGAACCACAGATAGTTCCACAGGTCGAAACTCAGAGGTACAAGTACAAAGACTCTCCCTGCCCCACAGTGTACAGTGAACACCACTCAGAACTCAGTTGCAGAACCATCAGCAATGAAGTCCAATTCTCCTGCTGCCCTCGCTGCCCAGGGAGGGCCTCTCACAGACTATCAAGCACCCTTTCCTGGGAGAAGCCATCCAGACGTCCATGCTTTGCCTTTCCTGACTGAAGGCCCAGAGCACCAAGCAGAACTCCAGCACTTTATTCCACTTTCTGCCTCATGCTGCCACCATGACCCCTCCCCAGGGTGGAAGGCTGTGGCAGGAGATGCCTATCGTGGCTTAAGCACCAAGTCAGCCCAACCCATTCTCCTTCTAAGTGAAGGCTCGAGACCCCCAGTTCCACTGGGTCCTGGTACTACCTATAGCCACTCTGGGTCCACCAGAAGAGGGATGAGACATCCCTGACATCGTCTAGCTTGTGTCATATGGGACAAATATATACTAAGTAACATAAATCAATACTATTTTTGGTCATTGGTTGGAGTGGAAAGGTTTGGGTGAATAAATCAAAACACACAAACAGACGTGGTTCCATAAGCACAACCCTCTCTCTCCTCACCTTGGTCTTCCAGTAGAACTTTGGAGCCATGGTGCCAGCTGAGCCCACGGAACCCTCTCCGTTCTGTTATTCCATCCCACTGACAAGCAGCCTTGGGGAACGACAAGAACTACAAGCCTTGCTGTGGACATCTCTCCCAAAAGGTCTGGCATCATCTTTGCAGGGAAAAGCTGGGAATTACAGGCCATGACTAGCCCTGGAACTTTCCCTCACCAGCCTCTAATGTTCCAATAACATCTACTAAGTTATGGGGCTTAACCAATGCTAAATGGGCTGAAGACCAGAAGTGCTAAGAGACTCCTCGAGGACTCCCTCCCACAAATCCTTACATACTGATTTAACCATTCCAAGGAATCCAATTTAGAAGAGGAGACATTGGTATACAGAGATGGAAGGGACCCAGGAAGTTGCTGAATCTTCTCAGACCTTGCTGTGTGGAGGGCTGACTTTCCCTTCTCTGCTCCTCTGCAGGCAGTGTGGCACTCTCTCTCAGTAGTGCAAATAACCTCGGACCCGGTAACCCCTCTTCTGAGAATCTAGTCTACAGATATCATTGCAAGATTACTTAGTTACAACAGCAAGAGACTGGAAACTATCCTCGTGTCCATCAACGGGAACGGGTTAAGTAAATATGGTATATTCATACAACGGATTATTCTACAGCTCTGAAAATGAGTGTTTTCTAGGAACTAACAGTGAAATGTCCCCTAAAGCAAGAAGTATGACTGAATACCTTTTTGTTACAAAAAGGGTGTGTGTATGGGAAACAAAGAATATAATTTCTATTACTAGGATAAAAAATTCTGGAAGGATGCATAAGAAACAAAAAGTGGTAGCAGTTACCTGTGTGCAAATGGGTGAGTGGAGGGAAAGTGGGTGAACAGAGCCAGGTAAAGGAGTAAACTTTACACTGTACACTTTTTGTACACTTTTGATTTTTGAACCAGGTAACATAGTACCCCATCAGAATACTAATTATAATAATTAAACAGGTGACCATTCCAACCCAGATCCTGTGATTCTATAATGAGATGACGCGAGATACTTTCTCTAGCCTGGAGGTGAACCAAAACTCACAAAACCCAAAAAGGCTGGGTCTGTCCATGGGCACCCAGTTCTTCACCAGCTCCCTCAGTAATCCCTCCCAACTGGCTTCGTTCCCCACCGTCCCAAGAGCACATGGGCTCTACTGAGCTTAGCCAAAGACCAGAGAAACCATTCAACTGGTGAGACAAGCTGAGGTAGCTCAAGGGGCCATAAGAATGGCCTAAAACTATGGCTCCCCAGGACAGGAGCAGTGGTTGAGAAGGATCCTCAATCAGCCCAGGGAACCTCAGCAACAACCCTGGCTCTCACACACATACCTATGTTTAAAACTGTGCTCAGCAGCCAAGGGGCCTGGTAATTGGGGGATCAACTGAATGTCCTTCAGAGAACCAGGCCAGTTGGTTAAGATGTAGGGACACTGCATCCAGAGCTAGCACAGTCTGACGTGAAGGCTAAGCCCAAGGCTCTGAGCCACGAAGGGCTGGTAATGGGAAGAACAGGTGTGGCAAGTAATTTCTGCTCCCCCACCTATGCTGGCTGCCATCTGTGCAATGGGGGTGTTTGGTTGTAGTCTCCATAGAGAACCCAAGTGAGGATGGTGCTGAATGGAGCAGTCAGCCACAGGTGGCTGGTTTGGATCCTGGAATTTTTGAGGATACTACTTAGAGCAGAATTTTGTTTTTAAAATTTTATTAGTAAAATTTTTAAAATATTTTATTTA